GCGGGTTCGAGACCCGCCTGGGCAGCAAGACCTCATCTCTACAATAAATCAAAAAACTAGCCAAGCGTGGTAGCGCATGCCTGTAATTCCAGCTACTCAGAAGGCTGAGGCGGAAGTTTCGCCAGAGCCCAGCAGGTCGAGGCTGTGGTGGCCGGGAGCGGCCACTGCACTCCAGTCTGGGAGACAGAATGAGATTCCAACTCCAAAAAGAAAAAAATTTGAGTTATCACTGTTTTGTTGTTGTTGGCCCAGTTTAAACCTAGGAAGTTTATATAAATATTTTAATCTTTTATGCTAAAAATAATTATATCTAAAATATTTATCAAAAAGGGCTGGTAACTTGTCTTCTTTTAATGAATTTTAAATAGTGAATTATCCTTAAGGCAGTCTTATTTTGTATTTCTAAATGTAAATTCGACAATATTTACATTTAACATTTTTAGAGTAAGATAAGCAAAATCAGCAGTTTTTTAAGCATAGTAGGAGTCTTAGACTAAATCCTTTGTTCTTTTCTAGAAATAAGCCTGCATGACATTACATTTTCAAAATTTCTTTTTGTTCCTTTTTTTGGTAAAGTGATTATAGAAGAAGCACAGCTTTAGCAACAGGTTTCTAGGTATAGTAAACTTTGTTGTGCTGGGGTATTTTTTTGTTTGGATGAATGTGTGTGTATAAATAGAGTTCTGTTTTGAAAGTAGTTGATAAAGAATTAAAGGATATTTATGGTGACAAAATAATAATAACTATGGTTATTTTGCCAACTAATCATAAACATGAACAGAATAATGGTTGAGCACTGACCTGTGCTTCTGTATGGTAGAAGACAATATAAATTGATGTCATGAATTTTAATTCATGATCTGCTAACCTCAACATGTATTTTTAAGAGTTTTTGCTAAATTTCACTTTAACTTATTAACTTTTGGTTTTCAATAATTGCAGTTTCTGTGGGAGTTAAACTGTTTTATTTGTTAAGTATTTAGTTATGCTTATCTTAGAATGTCTAATTTCAATAATTTTAAAGTGTTTGCATAATGGTGCATTAAGTGTAAATGGTGCATTGTGTAAATTAGAATATTGAATATTGAATATACACTTATTGTATATATAAGCATATACCTATATACATATGTAAAAAATATAAGAAAAGGACATGCTAACTTGTTATTAGTATTGCTATTTCAGAAATGTAAGTATTAAATAATATCAAGAATAGATACAATTTCTAATGCAATGCAATATATATTTCGGAATGTCTGACTATTATATTTCCAAAGATCTAAGATGATGAAAGGAGTAAATTTTAGATTGTACTATACAAATGTGCCTTATTTATAGAACATAAATAGTTACCAATTACTTAACGTATTCATTCCAAAAAATTATCCAATATTCTATTGAAGGGGTCATGAATTTAACTAAATTTATGAGCAGAAAAAAAGATAATTAACAGCAGCCTATCCTACTGTCACATAACTCTTTTTTATTATTTCTGCTTCCCTTGTAACATATTGGATTTAACTACCATCTATGTTTTCTCCATGTAAACCATTAATGCTTATGAGAATCAAAATGGAAATTTTATATATCACCTAGCACTGCATGGATCTTATCATGTTCTTCTCTCATTTTATAAATGAGAGGATGTAATGAATTATAAATATCATCATCATATGATTGTAATGGAAAATTATCATGAACCGTGTGTGTGTGTGTTTTTTTTTTTTTTTTTTTCTGAGTTGGAGTCTCACTCTGTCACCCAGACTGGAGGGCAGTGGCCGCTCCCGGCCACCGCAGCCTCAACCCGCTGGGCTCCGGCAATCCTTCCACCTCAGCCTTCCAAGTAGCTGGAACTACAGGCGTGCGCTACCACACCCCGCTAATTTTTTGATTTATTGTAGAGACAAGGTCTCGCCAAGTTGCCCGGGCGGGTCTCAAACCCACGGGCTCAGGCAATCCTCTCCCCTCGGCCTCTCAAAGTGCTGGGATTGCAGACTGAGCCACCGAACCCGGCCCTGTGTGTGTTTTTACAATTACTTTCTAAATTAGGGCTAAAAGCTCTATTAGCAAACACCACAGTTAACTTCATATTTCTTTTTAGCCAGAAGTTGGAGCAAAAACATCCACAGATGAAGATAAATATTTTGGTCATGTTATATTACTGTAATACTCTTGTACTAGTGGAATAGATATAACTAATTTGCTCAAAAACTCATATTCCTAACTGTTTAAAGTTTCACTTTTTCTGTAATGCAGTCAATATTCATCACATACTTGCATGTTAAAGAACTTTGAAGACAAAATCTGAGATATTAATTTATTTGATGTTTATTTTGCTTTCTTTTTCTAGCTATCCAAAATCCAGATTTGCCAACCAGTTCGTATTTATAGAGCACTTATCTTGACAAGGAGATATGCTAATGAACCATTACAATACCCTTCCTCGATATCTTATTTTATACTGCTTATCACTGAATTTAGTATTTTCTAGATAATTTAGGGATTTAGGGATGTGTGACTACCATTTGTAAGCATTTTTATTTCACTTCTCTAGCTTAAAATTATTCTTTCATGTACCACCTTCCATATTCTGTACTCAGGAAATGGATAATTTTGCAAAGCTAAGTCATTACATCTCACGTTTCTATTCTACTTTATTCTTACACATAAACTTTGCTTCATTCTTCATACTTCTCACTTCCCTTCTAACTTCTCTCTTCTTTAGAAAATGTAGATGTTTTTTATCATAAGGCAGTCTTCCTTGCTTCATCTTATTACTTATAGTCAGCTCCTGCTCCAGTCAAACAATATTCTCCATTTAATAATTATCACTCATATCTGTACTCCATGATAACTGGTCTCTTATAGGTAAATAGGAAATAATCTATTTTCTAAATGCAACGGACTTTGCTAAGCTTCTTATAGTTGCTAGAATTCACATGCTTTCATGTAACACTTTTCTTTCTTAGACATTTCTAACATCCTATTTCTTCTGCTAATATTTAATCTGTGTTTATTTTTTGGAAGCTGTTATTCTTTTATTTCTACACTTTCTTATTCATAAATCTACCTTCGTATAAATTCATATTATCCTCTTTAGATAGAAGTAATGAGAATTTAAAAGGAAAAAATATTGAGCCTGAGAAAAAGGTGAGTTTAGAAAAAGTTTCTTCCTCCCTGAAGAATGTCATCTTCAAAATTCTATGTTTTAAAAAGTGAGAAAAAAATTGATATGCTAGGTAAGAATTCCTCCAAAAACATAACCTTGAGTACAGTTGCTAAAGAAACCATTAACAAAAATTAGTGATATATGATATTAAATAAATCATTCCAATGACTTTCTAACATCCTTGTCTATTATTCTCTTTCCTGATTGAAAGTTTTCTCACTCTCTGAAGAATGTCATCTTCAAAATTATATGTTTAAAAAAGCGACAAAGAAATTGATATGCTAGGTAAGGATTTCTCCAAAAACATAATAACCTTGAGGACAGTTGTTGAAGAAACCGTTAACAAAAATTAGTGATATGTGATATTCAATCATTCCAACGACTTTCTAACATCCTTGTCTATCCTTCTGTCTTTCCTGATTGCTGTGTTCTTCATCCCAAACCCACAATATAAGCATCTTCATCAGCATGAATCTTAGCTTCCTCTTTGGTAATTAACGCATGCATGATAGACTTTCAGGGTTTCCTTTACCATCTCTGTTAAAATGATTGCCAACTTTTAATAAATCTCTTTCTCAAAAGTTCCAGATCCTCATTCTCAGTGTTCTGCATGCCATATCTTTGTTTGTCCGCCAGAACTTCAAATTCAAAACCAAATCCAAAATTCATCTATCTGGGCCCCAATCTAATTTTTTTTCTCAATATAATAGTGTCTTAGTTTTACTACCATATTTCCAGTCATTCAAACTGAGAAAATATTAGAATGCTATGAATGTCCTTCTCTTCACTATCTCAGCCTATCAGCTGGTAACTTCTTTAGATCTATCTTCGTAATTAATCTTTCATCAAAGCTAGCAACTTTCTTCACCCAAGCAAAAATTCAAAATTGGTTTTCCTTTCATACTGCAACATGTCTTAACTGAGTACATGAACTGCTCCTTAATGTTTCTTTGACCTGTACTACAGAGATTTGAACTAATATACCTAAAGCTGAATTTCAGTTAGAAATCTCATGTTAATTATCTACCAACAACTTAAAAATTATATGCTGCTATACAATGTTTCCATATTCTAGCTAAACATATTTATTATCCCTCCATTTTATAGGTACAGTCTCTCCTTTACCTGCCTTTGCTAATTCTATCAGTCCCTAAGTGCAGTGTTTTCATATTGTTTTGTTGAAATAACTATGATTCAAGAACTCATCTGAATCAGTCAAGTATTTGTTTTTCATCCCATGATATGACCTCTCTTTTTTGAAACCCCTGGTATTTTCTTTGTACTTCACTGAAAGTATTCCTAATAGTCTGCCTTGTATTATTGCTGTCTAAATAATTTCTCCCTTTCTTGATTGCAAAGTCTTTGAGAACAGAACCACGCAAAGTGTAGAGATCTCATCAAATAGGAGCTAAGTAAATACTTGTTAAATTGTATTAGCCAAACAAAGCTTTACCAAATTCTTTAAAATTATTAAAATAATTCCTAATGGATATATTTTTGCTCTCTCAATACTCTTTATCCAAAAAAAAAAAGGGAAAAAGAAAAAAAAGGTTGAGACCAATAAAAAGCCATTTGCTTGCCTCACTTATATATAAGCATGCATATAATGGGTAAGTGAACCCATAGGAGCTAGTGAAGCATTTTTAAATCATCAAGGAAAACATTACTATATTACTACAGCTTTTTATCACCTAAAAAGAGATTAAAAGTAATTAAGGTGGTTTAAGAAGAGCCCACCTTATCCCCAAGTACAAGTTATAAACAGAGGAATACTGAGTAAATGCTAGCAATGTGTTTTATTAGCAGAACACTGCTAATTAAAATAACTTACCTTATAACTAAGATAGCCAAGTAGTATTGTTTCAAATAGACTTATCAATGCCACTGAAACCTAAAATAAAAATGGTAACTTAATGAGAAAATGAAACAAAATTAAAATGCATATTCATGGTTATATTATTAACACTAAATAAATAATTGTATGTAATCATATATGTGTATATATATAGACATCATATATATTTGCATCACATGTACATATACTATAGGAAATATCTGTTAGCATTTTGACTTCTATTAGTAGGCAGCAGGCTGCAGGCCATAGTTTGCCATCCCTTGCACTATAGCTTTGTTTCTATAACTTCTAATACTCCTTAATAAATCATTTTATTTTTTATTCAAAATATAAATATATGATAAGAATACTCAAGATTGACAGGTGTTTACATGATACATAAAGAACAGGTGCCTCTAGGTGTATTTTCCTGATGCATAACAACCACAAAAACTGCCCACCACAAATAATTGCCTTTTCCTCAGCAACATCATCTACAAAAGTCAGCATTTTCCTTCAGAAAATACAGAAAATCAAATAAAAGTTTCAGTTGAATAATATATCCAATCTTATCACCCACCTAAACAAAGTAAAAATTCAACATACTTGAACACTAAACAAAATAGACAATACTAGTACTCCAAGTTACTTTCAGATTTTATTTGAATGAACTTCATAATCAATTTCCCTTATGCACATGGATGTGCTAGTACTGCATCTTCTAAACATGCTTCTATCTTTCTTTATAAAATCTACCAGAAGTACAATTTCTATTGTTTCACTACCAAAAAATATATCATTGCAACAGAAAAAGTGACTAGAAAAGATAATGAAATATTTCTGTTTTAAGTACTCTAAGTACTTAAGATAGATAAATAAAATCAATTATACACACATAACCAGAAAATGATTCAGATAAATACACATATATATGTTTATAGGTTTCTGAGGCTTAAGACAATGGGATTGACAGAAACCCTAGAGATTATATTTTGTCTCTTGTTGGAATAAAACTGAATTTAAGTGAATATTACAACACAAGAACAACAACAACAAAATGACAAATACATAGCAGTGGAAGTAAAATATATTCAGAGGTGTATGTAGTAGCCGGGTATTATTAAGATAGAAAATTCAAATATCTTTCATTTTCAAATCATAATCATCCATGCCTTTTTCTAGAGGTACATAATAATAGATGATCTCTAAAACATTTTTATCATGTTATTCAAAATACTATCTAAAAATGAGTATTATTACTATTTTAAAATATCACTATTAAATAAAAGCAATTTAAATACATCAAAATGTATTTCAAGATAATGACTATTCACAATATATTAATTTACTTTTTTTTGCTTACTTTAAATGTGCATTTAACTAAAGAATAGCATAAAATGGAACTCAGAGATTAAAATACATTTTAATGAACACTTTAATATTTTTAAAGTTTTGTATTAATTACGGTTACACACTGCAAAAAGTCAGTGTAAAAAATAACCTAAACATCTAAACAAAACATGAACTCTCTAGACATAATAAAAACTTGATTTCATAGTTATCATCACACTGCATATAAGCTTAAAATAATTCATTATCACACATAAAATGTACAGACTTCACAATCATCATGACTTTTTTTTTTTTGAGTTGGAGTCTCACTCTGTCACCCAGACTGGAGTGCAGTGGCCGCTCCCGGCCCCCGCAGCCTCGACCCGCTGGGCTCCGGCGATCCTTCCGCCTCAGCCTTCCGAGTAGCCGGAACTACAGGCACGCGCTACCACGCCCAGCTAGTTTTTGATTTATTGTAGAGATGAGGTCTCACCAAGTTGCCCAGGCGGTACTGGAACCCGCGGGCTCAGGCAATCCACGCACCTCAGGCTCCCAAAGGTGCAGGATTACAGGCTGAGCCACCGAGCCGGGCTATCATGACTCTTAAAGGCAGAGTGTGGAATGACAGCCACTGGAGACTTAGACTGGTGAGAGGGTGGTGAGTAATGGGTGAGTGATGACAAAGTGCTTAATGGGTACTTTCTGGTGATGGATACACTAAACGCCTGAACTTCACCACAACTCAAATATCCTTGGAACAAAATTGCAAGTGTACCCATTAAATTTATACAAATGAAAGTTTTTCCTCTTTCCTCCAGACTCAATTGTCTTCCAACCTCTAATTTTTTTTCATGTTGGTGATCGTATTCTTCAATTTAATGTGTACTTTAAAAATTAACAGATGATAAAAAGAATCTGTGGGAACTAAACAGAGAGAAAGGAAATAGAGATGTATACAGTTCTCTGGGCCTGAAATCCAGTAGAAAAACAGAAGGAAAAAAAACAGAAGAGGTATCAGGGTCTATAGGGAATACTTCAATAATTTAATTCAGATATGCTGTTCTCTCTCATATTTCATTACTCTTTCTCAAGGACTCTATTTATGAGAGGGCATACTCTTTGCTTTATTTATAAGATTAATTGCTTAGGAACTAAGTAAGCTCTTACTATTGGTGATATGAGTCAGTCTTTCATTTGTTCATTCATTTAACAATTATTTATTGAGATTCTACTATACTACAGACACTGAGGATATAAGAAGCAAATGTTATCAGCTTGGATTAATTTTAAAGGAATTATAAAGCAGGAATAATTAATGTATATATACATTATATAGCAGGAATAATTAATTTGGAAAATCTTGTGGAGTCTTAAAACACTAGTTTACTTCAGTTTTCTCCACATTCTCAAAAGCTCCTTAAAATCTAATCCTGATCACCAGGAAATTCTCAGATGCAGTGTTCAGGCAACTGAGAAGAAAAAGAAATTTTAGTCTCAGATGTGCATGGAGATTAATCAGGCAGAAAGACAGACTCATATTGACTATCAGCAGCTTTCTCTTCAATAGTATTTCTCTGTGATCTATGAATAGACCCAGAAACATAAGGATAAAACAAAATTGTACATAACCTGTAAGCCCCACAAAGGTAGACTTCTGTTCACCCAAAAGATATGAGACCTATAAAAAGAATGATAAATGTTAGTTTTTTAAAAATGTGAAAAATCCATTTGCATTTAAAATTCAATTAAAATTTGAAATATTAAAATAATGCTTAAAAGCACCAAGTATTACATTAACATAAAAACATAGCTGTTTGTATTTTCTTTTTGTTAATACTCATTACTATTCCAGTAAAAATATTTTAAATTTCATTTTCAGTCATTGTTAATGAATTGAAATATGATGGAACATTATTTAAAGAATGATATGGAAGGGCAAAAAAACCTCAAACACCTTATTAGATAATTCTTGGCTGTAAAGTTACTTAAGGGTCTTCTGTAAATCCTATGTTTTTGTTATTTTTTTAAGTATAAATATTTAGGAAATACACACTCAACAGTATAAATCATCAAAATAAAATCAGTAACAGTGTACAACACAATAATATTTCAGATTTTAATATTTATAAAATATTTAACATGCCACTGGGGCAAAAATAACTCTGACCAGGATGAGCATAGAACATTAGACTAGACAAGGAGTGACTGTTTTTAAATATTTCTAAAACAATATGTTTCCTGATGTTAAGAAAGTCTTATGCTTTGCAAATAACATCATAACACTTTCCATGTCCAGCTAATTCTAATTTTGCACAACTTAGACCTTATTGATTCTGCATCATTCCATAAATAATTGATTCAAATGAGAGTCACTCACAGCAATACAACCTACTCAGGGAAAGATAAAAATAGTTATTTTTCATGCCCTCCCAATAGAAATAATCCCCCCATACAAACGAAATCAACTCACTGTTTATACAGGGGGTGCTAAAAACATGAATGCACATTTTAAGTATGATGTATGAGAGCATTAATCAAATGAATGCTAGTGTCACCATGCAACAGGCAGGACAAAGAAAATGGTGGAAACACAGTTGAACAAATGTCATACTACACATTGCTGCATATTTAATTCAACTTCATAAAGTAACACACAGATAAAATCTCTTAACATGTGTTAAGAGATATGGAAGGTCACTACATAATAATAAATGGTTCAATCCATCAACAAGAACTATCCACCCTAAACATATATGCAACCAACATAGAAGCACCAACTTTTATAAAGCATCTTATAGGTAAATGAAAAAAAGACACTGACTCTAACACTATCATAGCTAGAGACTTACATACCCCACTAACAACTCTAGACAGATCATCAGTACAAAAAAATCAACAAGGAGATCCAGAACCTTTATGCGATGTTTGACCAAATGGACTTAATTGATACCTACCGAACACTCCACTCAGCAGCCATGGAATATACATTATACTCATCACTACATTGAATATACTCTAAGATTGACCACATCCTCGGATATAAATCAAGTATAAACAAATGTCATAAGATTGAAATACTGCCAGGCACCTTTTCAGACCATAGAGAAATAAAAATAAATTATCAACACCAACAAAGTTCCCCCAAAACCCACAAAGATGTGGACACTAGACAGCATAATACTGAACAACTCCTGGGTCAACACAGAAAACAAAACAGAGATGAAAACATTTCTAGAAACAAATGAAAACAAAGAAACATCTTACCAAAATCTCCAGGATGCCATGAAGGCAGTACTAAGAGGGGAATTAATATATCTACAAACACACATGAAGAATATGGAAAGATCCGAAATTAACAGCCTAACAAATCACCTGAGGAAGCTGGAAAAGCAAGTCCACCAAACCCTAACTTCAGCAGAAGAATCCAGATCACCAAAATAAAGGCCCAAATTTAGGGCATAAGAAGACAAAAATATAATACAAAAAATCAATGAAACTAAAAGCTGGTTCTTTGAAAGGATAAATAAAATTGGCAGACCCCTGGCTAGATTGACCACAAAAAAGAGATAAAAAGCTCAAATAAACTCACAGGATCACATCTGACCCTGAAGAAATACAAAAGATTATCAGAGATTACAATGTACACCTGTATGGAAACAAACCTGAAAATCTAAATGAAATGGATCTGACATCACACAACAATCACAGGTTGAAATAGGAAGAAATCGAGACAACAAATAGACCAATAAAAAACCAGGAAATCAACTACGTCAAAAGTAAACTATCTACAAAAAAATAACCCTGGTCCAAATGGCTTTCCAGCAGAATTCTCCAAAACATAAAAGGAGGAGCTGATACAAATCCTATTGAAAGAATTCCAGGCAATCAAGAAAGATGGAACTCTTCCCAAATCATTTTATGAAGCTAATATCACATTGATACTCAAACCAGGAAAAGATTCAACAAAGAAAGAGAACTACAGGCCAATAACCTTAATGAACATAGATGCTAAAATTCTCAATAGGATCATAGCAAACTAGATCCAACAACACATCTCAAAAATCATCCACCATGACCAAGTAGGCTTCATCCCCTGGATGCAAGGCTGGTTCAACATCTGGAAGACCATAAACGTAATTAAATACATCAACATATGTAAAAGCAAAAACCACATGATTATATCATTAGACATGGAAAAAGCATTCGATAAAATCCAGCACCCCTTCTTGACAAAAGCACTTGGACATCTAGGCATAGATGGACCACACCCCAAAATGGTAAGAGCCATCTATGAGAAACCCACAGTCAACATACTGCTAAATAGACAGAAATTGGAACCATTTCCCCTGAACACTGGAAAAAGATAAGGATGCCCACTCACAACCCTCCTGTTCAACGTAGTACTGGAAGTCCTAGCTAGAGCAATCAGACACGAGAAGGAAATCAGAGGTATCCAGATAGGAAAAGAGGAAGTCAAGTTATCCCTCTTTGAAGCTGACATGATTCTACTCCTCGAAAACCAAAGAGAATATGTCAAAAACCTCTTTGCACTGATAAAGAACTTTGGCAAAGACTCGGGGTATAAAATAAATGTGCAAAAGACACTCACATTCCTATACACCACCAATAAACAAACAGAAACCCAAATAAAAAGCATAATCCTATTCAAAACAGTCACACACACACACAAAAGAAATACTTTGGCATCTTCCTAACTAGGGAAGTGAAAGGCCTTTACAATGAAAACTACAAAACACTGCTCAAAGAAATCAAAGATGACACAAACAAATGGAAAAATATTCCAAGCTCATGGATTGGAAGAATCAACAGTTAGATGTCCATCTTACCCAAAACAATCTACAGATTCCATGCAATACCCATTAAATTACCAGTAGCATTCTTCTCGGACTTGGAAATGACAACACAGGAATTCATAGGGAAACATAAACAACCACAAATAGCCAAAACAATCCTCAGGAAAAATACAAAACAAAAACGTGAGGTATCACATTCCCAGGTTTTAAACTTTATTGTAAAGCTACAATAATCAAAACAACCTGGTATTGGTACAAGAACAGGCATATAGACTAATGGAACAGGATAGAGATTCCAGAAACAAAACCTCCATTTCTCAAAAGCCTCCACCACCAACCACTGGGGAGAGGAGAACCTATTCAGTAAACCGTGATGCAAAAACAGGCTGATCATTTGCAGAAGATTAAAACAAAACTCCCATGATCATACTCAAAAATCAACTCTAAATTGATCAAAGACCTGAACATAAAACCTCATACTATAAGAACTTTAGAAAATGCAGGAGACATCCTTATGGAAATTGGAACTGGCAATCAATTCCTTATCAAAAGTGCCCATGTCATAAGAGATAAGACAGACAAGTGGGACCTCATCAAACTGACAAGCTTCTGCAAAGCCAAAGAAACCATCGAGAGAGTGAGGAGACAGCCGACAGACTGGGAAAAAATATTTGCTAACTGTATATCTGACAAAGGTCTAACATTCAGGATCTACAAGGAACTCAAATGTGCCGAAAGGAAAAAAACAAACAGCCTTATTACAAAGTGGGCAAAAGATATGAATGACCACTTCTCAAAAGAAGATATACGAGCAACCAACAGATACATGAAAAAATGTTCATCAAATAAGTGCAAATTAAAACCACACTGAGATACCACCTAACTCCAGTCAGAATGGCCATCATCAATAATTCAAACAACAGCAGAAGCTGGAGAGGATGAGAGGAAAAGGGAACACTTCTACACCATTGGTGGGAGTGCAAACTAGTACAACTTCTGTGGAAAACACTTTGGTGATTCCTAAAAGATCTAAAAATCAACCTTCCATACAACCCTGCAATACCCCTGGGAATATTGCCAGAGGAACTCAAATCACTCTATGAAAAAGATACCTGTACACGTATATTTATTGTAGCATTATTAACAATGTCAAAAACATAGAATCAACTGTACTGTCCATTGAAACAAGACTAGATTTAAAAAATGTGGTACAAATACATGATGGAATATTACAAAGCCATAAAGAAGGACAAAATTATGATCTTCGCAGTAACTTGGATGGACTTAGAGTCTGTAATACTGAGTGATCTATCACAAAACAAAGAACTGAGTATCACATGTTCTCACTCATAAGTGGACTTTGAACAACTATCAGAATACTATTGGGATTAGCAGTAGTGGGAAACTGCCAGGGGTTTGCGGGGGCGGGTTTGGCAGCAGTAGGAAACTGCCAGGGGAGGAGGGGCACACCTTATCAACAAAGGTACCTGCATCATGAACATTTGCATACTTAACCCTGACTTATACCCCACATATTTAAAATAAAGAAAAAATGTGTATACATTTTTTGTCACCTCCTGTAGTTATGAAATCTGAGAGGAGACCCATAGTAGTAAGTGTCTTTTCTAATGCCTAAGTCATTTTCTGTTTAGTAAAATGTAACATAACAAAAAACAGTCAACTCATTAAAATCCTTTTGAAGAAAGAATGACAAAATTTTAAAAGATTATTCAAAGAAACTACCTAGCATATTAGACTAAAATACTCTCAAGTTCCAGAATGCGGTATCTACCTTGCTAACTTGCATCTTCAATTTTTCAAATCCAAATCAGTGATGTTTCGCCCAAATAATGGTCCTC